CAAGGAGGACCTATTCATCAAAGCAAATCATGTTTATCCGCTGCGAAACCGACGTGGGAAGACTCTAGAAGACAACAGAAGGCAAATCACCGAAGCGGAGGGCAGATGACTATTATAAGTCGTTTTGACTTTTTTTGTACATCTATTTTAATATGTATCTAGACATAATATGTAGATACATAGTAAAATGGATGAACCAAAAAATTAAAGTGACGGAACTGAGGGGGATTACTTGACATGCCTTATATAGGCTACAAAGACCTTGTGGTTACTCTTGGGAGCAATTACCGCGGCTCGATGACCGCCGGCCGCGTGTCATGTGATGAAAAGTTATCATGCGTCGTCGTCGTGCTCCACCTAGCTGGCACAGCAGAAGCACTAGTCCAGGTCCATCCACCTAACAGCGCCGAAATACTGGAAATAATACCGCTCAATGCAAGACGGTCGATTGAATTGAATAACGAAACAGGCGTGTGTGGGCGGTACGCTGAAATAGGATTCCTCCAGCAGCTTCCGTTCCTACCGGGACGTGCACGCGTTGCGGCGAATCGGCGATCGATCAAATCGCGACAGCTGATCACGGCGATTCACGGCCCACACTATCAATACGCACTTCTGATTTCTGAATGAACGAAGAAGGACCAATTCCGCGGTCCGTCGTTGCCTACCCAAATGATGAGAACCGAGAAACTCTCCAAAAAGGTTATCAAAAAAGAAACTCTCCAAACAGGTCGGTGCGCGCGCGCACAACAAAAGGCACGGACGGACTCAACGTCGACCTCAGCCACTCGCTCGGCATCGGTCTTCTCATCTTCAGCAAAACAATCGATAGATGCAATTATGCAAGTACTGCAAGGCAACCACACAAAGTATATAAAGATTAGAATTAATCAGCAGAGAGTACATACCCTTTTCGGCTCATCGATAACAACGCAAACGGCAAACCGAATCGTAATGCGATCAGAAAGCTCGTCTCTGGATAACCAGCTGGCTGGTGGGTTAGTCTAAACAACTAGCCATTCCATGCAAGATCAGAGGTCGTTACTAAATCTGGCCCTGCACATGGGTCCGGCTCGGCTAACCTGCTTGCCGCTGGTCGGCTGACTCACATGCCGGAAATGACAAACTACTCATGACTTGGTAGTCGGAAGGTACAGCAGGTAGGTCAGGCGGTCAGGTGGTCAGGCCACAGACCGGACGCGTATCCTTTTCACGATCGGTTTCCGTTTTTGCACACGGCACTCGGCAATCGGCATGGCACGGTCGGCCGCGCGCGCGAGCACACTGCACACTGCACGACCGTCCGTCCTGCTGCGCGCCTTTCTACGGGCGGGGGGCGAGCGTCGACGAAACGACGACTCGACGAGCTGGATAGGATGGCAATGCAACACGCGCCAAGCAGCGCATCCACACGTCCCCAGGAAAAGTACTCACTCCGATCCAGGGCGCGCCCCAGGGCCCCCGGGTTGGCAAGATTTGTTGCCCACAGCCCGAGCACGGCCATTCGAGGACCAAAAGTGTTTTGACGTAGATCACGTTGTTTAGCCATCTCAGTGCATTGCATTTGCATGCTAATGTATAACAGGCATCCGCCACACTGACTGACTGACTGACGTATAGTGCAAGAAAAGTATACGCTCCAGTCACGCTACGACAGGTAGGTCGGCATATGCAATAAATACATGCTTTGCGTCGTGCACGCTGACTGCTGAGGTAAAATAGAGCGGTCTGGATCTAAAAGTCGACGCACTAGCTAGTAGGCCGGTAGCGCTGCTCCGTTGGTTTGGAGACACGAACGAGTTCGCAGGCGGGAAGCAAGCGCCGCGCGGTGGCGCCAGGTCGCCCTTCCGCTGGCACTGGGCGCTGGCTCCCGAGGCCGCCGACGTCGCCGCGTTCGGGAATTGTCGCTCTCCCGGAGATCCGCCGGGAGTCCAACTTGTACGCCCGGGTGAGCCGAATCAATCATATACTATCACACTAGCCACAGAGACAGCCCCTACACTTTAATTTTCAAATTATACTACTACATATAAACAAGTTTAGCCAACTAGCAGTCCAAATAATTAATGACAAAAAAAACTATATATATAGGGCCTGTTCGTTTTTTTATAATCCGTCTTTTTCAACTTGTTTTTCAGTCGGAATAATATTTCGACTTGTTTTTTTCAGCGAAGCGAACAGGACCATAGTAGTAAACGCATAGACGTGTACTAGTACTATATGCTAGCTAGCTACTGCCCGGAGATACTTTGCTAGTTGAATTTCATTAACGTCGCTGCCACATGCGCTGTTCCGCGTAGACACTTGCATAGCACGGACGATTACGTGTGTGCTTGGTGACAGGGGACGACGACTCTGCATGCAGCAGGTTCGTCATCACAGGAAACTGCCCGGACGAAACGCCCGCAGCCGCGAGTCTAATCTAATGATGCAAATGCTGGTAAATCCATACACGGAGTAGTTCATGCATGGACACGTGCACTGTACTGTCATCTCGCAGACACAGAGCCAGGAACTCAGGTAGGCGTTCGCCAGGCTCCGATCCGTGCTGCGCTTCCAGCACATACGCCGCGCCGCCCGTACGTCGTCCGCTTCCCTAGCTCAACCTTGAGAGGCGGCGCCGGTAGCTTCCCTAGCTCAACCTTGAGAGTTGAGACCTTGACGGAAATTGTGGCCGTGCACACGGGGCGTGTGGTACGCACGAGAGACGTGCGAGTGAGGATCGGAGGGGAGGCACCACGTGCAGCGGCACGCGCGGGAGTGAGCGGCGCGGCGGCCTCCGGTCCTGCCCCTAGCCATAGCCCCCTAGGCACAGCACAAGCATGCGTAGTTTTGTGGCTGCGGGTGAAGAGGCGGGCGGGTAGGCGGACGAAAGCGGCACGGCATACGTGCGCAAGGGACGGCGAATCGAACTAGGCCACTCCGTTCCACCCGTCGTCTCCGACTCCGATCGATCCATCCACCGGCTCACCTAATAAACCTGACCGGCTGACCGGCCGGCGCATACATGCATGCAGCAATACGGATCTGGCGAGGCACGCCAGTATGGGGCAAGTAAAGAGCCGTTCCCACCCAGCCGCACCTGTACGTATTTGGCGCGCGCCACCACCGTACGTGCATGAGGTCATCGTGAGCCGCGCGTATAGTACGTACTTGCCACACGTATTTTCGTACCACCACCTCGATGCACACGTGTAACGCCACGTTTCGACACGGCCTTTCACGACCTTCTGTACGGTAGCAGAAGGGGAGAGCACACGGTGAAATTAAGTATGCACGTAATCCATTCTCTCTCTATTTTTTTTCGAATTACAGCACGTATGTAATGCATTCCCTAATTAATCAGCTATTTATATAATACTGTACTGTACAATACGTAACTCCAGTGAAAATAACTTGTTACACCTTTCATATTTAGCATGATCTTTGATGGACACCCTTGTCCACTAATGTATCTTCTAAAATATGTTTCTTAAATAAAATCGTTAAGTTGTATAAGAAACTACGTGAAATTGTTGATATTTGTATACCAAACTCTATTCTAAACGACATGTTTTGTGATCAGACGGATGTGCCTCTTTCTTGGTCGACGGTAGGTCTATCTTGCTTATTTTAGCATTCTCCTGGAGGTGTGCGTTAAAGATCGTGCTTCGACCCAAATTTCTGCACATTGGCGTAGTAGTGTGTGCATTTTTAATCGGCATGGCAGACGGAGAGCTTGGAACGTCACGTACGGTACGGGTGCAGGACGGCCGGAACAGGAGGAGTCAAGATAGACACGAGCACGACCACTGACACAGAAGTGGCGCTTGGTGAGGTCAGCCGGGCAGGACTCTTTAGGCCTTGTTTAGTTCCAGGAAGTTGGAATTTAGAGCTACTGTAGCACCTTCGTTTTTATTTGACAATTAGTGTTTAAACATGGACTAATTAGGCTCAAAACGTTCGTCTCGCAATTTCCCATCAAACTGTGCAATTATTATTTTTTTTCGTCTACATTTAATACTCCATGCACGGACCGCAAATATTCGATGTGATAGGTACTGTAGCACTTTTTGGGATTTTGGGAAGAACTAAACACGTGGCAATTATTATTGTCGGGCCTAGGCCCTGCTCGGAAACGGCGGTACGGGCGCCCGTGTCGCCAGCTCGGCCGCGGCCCGGGAGTCAGAGAAAACGGGAGGCCGCGTTTAGTTTAGGTGGGGGCCCCGGCATACGTGGCTGCGCGGCAGGCCGACCAGAAACGTGGCCGCCTGCGGCTGGGGCCCGCGCGCCCGCTCTCTCTCCCCACCGCACCCAACGGTTATTTTTCTGACCGTTTGAACCTCGGCCGGCCTCCTCGGCTCCCCGCGTCAGTTTCCTTTCTATCCCCACATGCCCCAAACGACACGGTCCAGCGCTGTCGAACGACGGAACGAGACCCTGCAACACTCACTCACTCGACCCGAGCCGTCTGATCAATGCGTTGGCCGGGTGAACAGACGCCATCGTGTGGACGACCCCGTCCGATGCGGGAAACTCTCGCGGAATTCCCGTGGGCGTTCCAGCCGCAGCCTCTGCCTCCCGGGAGGTCGCCGTCCACTTGTCTTGTCGCCACCGGCCATGGACCCTGGCGTCCCCACGGTCACACTCTCTCCACTGCCAGTCTGCCGCTGGCTGATGCTGATCTCGACCTGGAACTTTCTAACGAAGCGAGCCATTCACAGGCTCAGGCACGCAGACGCTCTACACTGCACCACGCCACCACCCGCACCCGCATCTTCCACCCGCGTCTCGCCATCGGCCCGGCCCCCCTCGTTATAAATTCCTCGCCCCACCACGCCCACCTCCCTGCTCGGCTCGCTCGCTTCGTTTCCTTCCGTTTCGCTAGCTGCCGCGCACGCCGCACACGCAGCGGTCGAGGAGACGAGGACACGGCAAGGGCGCGGCACTTGACTCGTGCTGGGTTCGGGGGAGGAGCTGGAACCGCGGGCGAGGAGAAGAAGACGGCGGGGAGCAGATCGATGGGGTACGCGCGGACGGTGAAGGCGGCGGCGGCGGCCGCCGCGGCGCTGCTGACGGCCGTGGGCGTGCGGTTCGTGGGCCCCGCGGCGGCGGCGTTCGTGGCGGAGGAGCTGCCGATCGCCCGCGCCGTGGCCGCCACCTGGCTCACGCCGCCGTACCTGTACCTCGTCATCAACGCCATCATCATCTCCATCGCCGCCTCGTCGCGCTTCCAGCCGAGCGGCGGCGGACGGCTGCCGGCCCCTTTGTATGCCCCCGCCGCCGACGCCGACGCCGACGCCATCGGAGGAGGAGGAGTAGCGGGCGAGGAGATGGTGCGGGATGGGATCCAGCCGGCGGTTGCGTTGCAGGTGCCTGCGGCGGTGCCCGTGGTGGCAGTGAAGGCCGCGGAGGTCGCTGCTGTCGAGGAGCCTGTGGTGGAGATCCACACTGTTGCGGTGGCGCTGGCTTCGGCGCCGGAAGACGAGGTGGACCAGGACTTTTCGATTTCGAGGTCGACCTGGACGCCGCGTCGGAGGGGCGCGGAGCCGGAGGTGGCCGCGGATGTGGAGACTGAGGTGTCGTCGTTTGCCGACCTCACCAACTCCAGGGAGAAGGCGTTGGTCTCAGCGAGGTTCAGCAGGAAGGCGGCCAAACCAAGCCCCGAAGGTAACAACGTTGGTCACACACTTTTGCAATCCTCAGCACGATTGAAAAGTCTTCGGAAGCTTAAACTTTGGCAATTCTGTTTTCTATAGGAATTGCGCCCTTTTTTTGTCGAATTCAACGAAGATATAGATACAGATGTTTGTTCGTTTGGTACCAACCGGAATTCTGGGCATTGCAGGTAGCAGGGCTCTGCGGGTAGCGCGGCCGCGGAAGGAGGAGACGCTGGAGAGCACGTGGAAGGCCATCACGGAGGGCCGGGGGCCGCCGCTAGCTCGGCACCTCAAGAAGTCCGACACCTGGGACACCCGCCCGGGGCGCCGTCCGTCCGGCGGCGGCAGCAGCGGGGAGGTCGATCCAGCGGCCGTCGCACCGGCGGGGGCGATGCGGAAGGCCGAGACTTTCAACGACGCTGGTGGCGCCGGAAGGAGCAAGCCGACTCCCGCGCCGGTGCGGCGGGAGCCGTCGCTGGGGCAGGACGAGCTGAACCGCCGCGTGGAGGCGTTCATCCACAAGTTCAACATGGAGATGCGGCTGCAGCGGCAGGAGTCGCTCAAGCACTACAACGACATGCTTGGCAGGGGCAGCCGTTACTGAAAGACTTGTTTGCAAATAGCTGCGTCTCGCAAGAAGGGTTCTGGTTTTTTGTTCCGTGATCGTTCTCGATTTTGGTTCTTGGTCTCTGTAAGATATGGTTTTGTCAAGTAACTCGTAAATGGTTTTGTCAAGTAACAAGGGATAGTGATAGGTTTTGCACAAGAGAAAGGACAAGTTCGATCGTACTTGGTAGCAGTGACAGGTGCAGAGGTGCTCATCGCATCCCATTTCGTTGGTTCTTTGCTCATTATGTGTTGTTCTTGCAATCAGTGCGGACGCGGACCTCCTACTGCCCGGCAAGAGCAGGTTCTGTCCCACAGTCGCCTGCAGTCCTGCACTGGAGGGGGGAGGATTTGGCCATCTGAGTTGACCTGCCGTGCGTGGCCAGACTTGACCTCACACAACGCAATCAGTTCACCAACTAACGTCGCACTTGGGCCGTAATCGCGTCATTCAGCCACCGGCCATGTATTTTGATTTTTGAAGTATACTGGTTTAACCAGTCTGGTTAGGATATTTTCCTCAAGTTTGCGCAAACCGTGGTGGTATCCCAGTCTACTCTGCTGACCGAAAACACGCGTACCGGTGTGGCGGACTGGCTGTGCTCGTTTAGGCTTAACACTTTAGACGCCAATCTTTACAGGCAGCCAGCAAATGGCATCCCTGTCATAAATTATTTTTACATAAACAACGGAGCAAACTCACAAAGCTCATTCATCCTGAACACACATACGAATGTGGCAATTCCTGTCAACTCCGGGAGAAATATGTGCAGGGTACATTAGCAACTTATGGTTTACATTCAGCCGAAACGAGCTAGTCTTGCAATACATACATGCATACAGGGGTATGCAAGGCCCCATGCAACACCTACGGGTATCCTGCCCTATGGTATACACGATAAACATTACCACTGGAGTCTGAGGGAAAAAGGAAACCGGCTCTATGGTATGGGAAGGTAACAGGCAACAGCTACACTAACACCTCACGGCACACGCCACATCTTTCTTAAAAAATGGGTATAGACATTCGGAAGGATAGGTTCGATCGGTTATCTATGTCCACTCACTGGAATGATCAGGCAATCCACACGATCCACTCTCTAACTTGGATTGTCTCGGCTCAACAAACCAGCCGCACCAGATTTCGGTGACTGCTCATCATCCCGATCAGGTTGGATGTTCAGGTCAATATGGTTCTTGACGGGAGAGGATGTCACCTTGTGATCCACGGCCATGTCTTCGGGTCCATCGGCAATTCCATCTGCTTTCCGAGGGGAGCTGGTTGCACTGGCACTGGCTACTGGCGGGACGGACACAGCTTGTGTGACCTTCTCACTGGATTGGCCTGTCTCTTTCTTGCGAGGCGTATCTGTTGTCGCCTTCTTCTCGCGTCGAAGCATGAGTGTCCTGAAGCGGCGGCGAACCGTCATACAAACGTTACAGGTGCATGTCTGCTTGTGCTTTGGACCCTTCCCGCTTGGTGGTTGGATGCAGACGATGCATGAACAGCCGGGACGATGACGAGGATGTTTTGTTGTTGGCTGCGAAGGAAGAGCTTCACCTTCGCCAAGAATTGCAAGGTTTGCAAGTGTGTCCAGCCCATCTGAAGCATCAATAGCATCAGATTCCATCCTCAATTTGGGCTTTTTGGCTACAACAAACCATTAAATACAGTTATAGATTATCGTACAGGTAAATGAAACTTCGAACATACTCCGTTCCAAATTGTAAGTCGTTTTGGCTTACTACGTATCTAAACATAATGGTTTGTAGCAAATTGGAACGTAGTAGACATTACACAAACTATCTTACATAGTGTATATCTAGGTATGTAGCAGAAGCTAGTAGACATACCGCTATCTTACATACTAGTAGACATTACACAAACGAAGTAGGCTTTACTATGTATCTAAACATAATGTATATCGAGGTATGTGGCAGAAGCTATGTAAAAGCCGGAACGACTTGCAATTTGGAACGGGGTAGTAGACATCACACAAACTATCTTACATAGAATAATGAAGGGATGTTATGCAAATTGGGCCTACCTTTAAAATGCATGACTCCCACTCCCTCCATTTCTAAATATGTGACCTTTAGGACAAGCTGATTAGTGCATTCTTTGACTAGCTAGCTTGTCCTAAACGCCACATATTACAAACGGAGGAACTACAATGCAAGAAATCCCAATACCGCTACCAACAAAAGGACCCAACAGAACGAAAACAAACATAGCCCATTATGTAATGGGTTGGGCAAGCTCCACCATGCATTTTTCTGAAAACACAAGATTAGCTTGGATTCCTTTTAATGCAGCTAAGTACCTAGCTATAGCATGCACTAGGACTGTGGCATGCCTCGATAAAGTAGCAATGAGCCATCTTTCATGGTCTAAACTTTTTCTTGTGTTACAGCTCTATGCAGAGTACAAAGTTCATAGTGGATTGATCCACTTTTTCTGTCTGAAATGCATCTTTGCCATTTTTATTTGGAAAGAGACACTAATGAAAATGCTAATTCTACAGAAGCACATATAAAAACTACAGAGGGCATGTGTACCATACCATGTTTTATAGGAATGAGTTCTGCAAGCTCCTCCATACTTATTTCCTGTGCAGGTTCGCAAGAAGACCTAGAAAAAAAAATACAGGTGTTTAACTGAATAACTAAGATGTAGTGATGAGTAAACCAAGCAGTTGCAAAATAACTATTCCATCCGTTCCAAATTATAAGACGTTTTGACTTTTCTAGATATGTCGTTTTTACTTCGTATCTAGATTCTACACGTAGTGTATACATAACAAAAACTATGTATCTAAAAAAGCCAAAACGGCTTATAATTTGGAATGGAGGGAGAATATTTAGCTGTCTTGACATAACATACAACTAACTGCTCATTTAGATATATGGTTGTCACAATTGTGTATGATGTTCTCATGATGGGGGGAAAACACTATTATTTTAAGAAACATGTCCAGTTTTCAGTTATGTTGCCTATTTAATATAGAAAGGTCATGCAATTCTGTTACCATATAGATATAGAATTCTTAGGACAGATTAGTGCTCAAAGGAAATTACCCATGTACCCCTATTTATTGAAGATAAACATGACTGAAATCTCAAACTGATATGGCCAAATCTATTGTCCAAGAGGTAAAACATCAAGTTTTTTTTGGACATTTTTTTTAATCCTAGACCATCAATTTTTCTGGGATGGAGTAATTAGCATATCACCATACATGCATATCTTCTAGAACACCCGAGAAACAAAATTAATACTTTCCACCCAGTGCTAAACACAGTTTAACAGCTGGAAATAGTTCCATACAATCCTAAGCAGCTCCAGTGCTCAATTTCAATAGTGATACTTTAATCCTAGGTTTACTCATTCATAGAAAGCTATCAACATTCTTCAGCATGCACTTTACATACAGACTCGCATAAAAATTTCCAAATCCATCACAGAAAAATGCATCTAACGTTTGGTTCTTGGATGAATCCTTGCCTCGCCTTGACCTAGCTAGGTGACCGAAGGAAGGTCTTTGGATTCCAGGCAAGTCGTCCTCGGAGTCTACGCCGGCAAGCTTTTTGCTTGCTAAGGTGGGAGAGCGATTTTAGCTCACCCGAGCTGGCAAAGTGAGCTCGCTCGTGCAGGCAAGGCTAGGCAAAACTAGTCTGGGAACTGAACTGATTGATGTAACGAATTCAGCAGCTTATAATCAAATATGTATGTTGAAGTCAAATAACATATCCATGAATTGTATTCTATGGATTAGAGAAAACATTTGCTGGACAAGAGAGTTCTTGAACATATAGGTGGGATTAATTTTGAAGGAATAAAATATATGTGCACATGCAAGTATAGTTGCATCAAGTCAGTGAAAAGTGTAATGTGGTGTTCTGAACAGACATTCTATCTAGTACATGTGCAACTGGATTATGTAGTACATAGGAGGCTACAGGCATCATATACTTCATAGAACATGTTCAATGATGAAATTGTATGTGATGCCCCTTTTTATATAGCAAACTTCAGAATTCAGATTAAACAATATCAAGTGATTCTTTGTTTAACATTTTGCTACAGATTTTGATTACACATACATGGAATAAATTATTATTACAATCAATACAGCATATACATAAAGACCAGATCACCAGACTGGCTTTTGGGTTAAGATTTATTTCCAAGTACACCACTTTGAATGAAATGCTTTGAACGAAAAAAATACTTTGCTGCATGTGGGACCCATGGATGCAAAGATGATTCATCATGTTTTCATATGCCACAAAAAATAAAATGGGCACAAATTGTCTTAAAGGAAAAATGAGAGAAGATCACCTTTCTGGATCCCATTTATTGTCAGAGCAGGTCCATTTGGAGGGCAACAGGGCATCTATTGGGAGTTTCCTCCATTTGGAACAATGCTCACATTGGGCCCATTGATGGTTAGAACTGTTAAAGTGTTGTTAATTTAAATTAGTGCCACTGATTCACTTCATAACTCATATCTAGGAAGCATTAACAGCTATTACACATTGAATTTGAACCTCTTCTATGTAAAAACATCAAACAAATAGAAGATAGCTTGATACGTATGGCGAGGAAAACAAATGGTATTAGCATGAACATCAACAAAAGCAGTTAACGTTCATCACACCCATTTTAGATTAATAGAAAAGTCACACTTAGAAGTTTTTGAGTTCAAAAAAAATACCCTGATTTATCTGCTGCAAAATAAGTCTTCCTTCCAAGTATCGGTGGCTCCTGAAAAACACAGAATTTCAATACAGAAACATGTGTGCTTTATTCTTCTGTATTAAGCAGTAAGAATAAACAGCAAAAGAAGCCAAGCATGCAAATATTGTCCTTGAGACAGATTCTCAGAAACAAGTTTCAATTTCAGAATGCAAATCCGCGTACCCAGTGCAGAGAGCTCCCGCTCTGTGCGGGGTCTGGGGAAGGGTGTCAGTGGCAAGGCTTACCCTCGCCTGTAC